TGAGGTTCTGGGGACTGATCTCCAACAAAACTAGCTATAATCACACATGTGAGTGAATGAACCAGTTGCACATATTGCTAACTTTTCATGTCTTCTTGTACATATTAGTAAATGGGCCAGATTAGACAAATGCAAACCCAAACCCTTTAGGAAATGGCACACAATCATACGGGTCCTTTACTGTCAAAAACTCAGTTGTCCAGTAAGTCATATTAGCAGTAACTCAGTCCTCTAGTAAGTCATATTAGCAGTAACTCAGTCCTCTAGTAAGTCATATTAGCAGGAACTCAGTCCTCTAGTAAGTCATATTAGCAGTAACTCAGTCCTCTAGTAAGTCATATTAGCAGTAACTCAGTCCTCTAGTAAGTCATATTAGCAGGAACTCAGTCCTCTAGTAAGTCATATTAGCAGTAACTCAGTCCTCTAGTAAGTCATATTAGCAGTAACTCAGTCCTCTAGTAAGTCATATTAGCAGTAACTCAGTCCTCTAGTTAGTCATATTAGCAGGAACTCAGTCCTCTAGTTCATATTAGCAGTAACCATATTAGCAGTCTCAGTCCTCTAAAGTCATATTAGCAGTAACTCAGTCCCTCTAGTCAGTCCTCTAGTCATATTAGCAGTAACTCAGTCCTCTAGTAAGTCATATTAGTCATAGTTAGCTCAGTCCTCTAGTTAGTCATATTAGCAGTAACTCAGTCCAGTCCTCTAGTAAGTCATATTAGCAGTAACTCAGTCCTCTAGTTAGTCATATTAGCAGGTCCTCTAACTCAGTCCCTCTAGTAAGTCATATTAGCAGTAACTCAGTCCTCTAGTAAGTCATATTAGCAGTAACTCAGTCCTCTAGTTCATATTAGTCATCCCTCTAGTTAGTATACAGGAACTCAGTCCTCTAGTAACATCAGTCCAGTCCTCTAGTTAGTCATATTAGCAGTAACTCAGTCCTCTAGTAAGTCATATTAGCAGGAACTCAACTCAGTCCTCTCTAGTAAGTCATATTAGCAGTAACTCAGTCCTCTAGTTAGTCATATTAGCAGTAACTCAGTCCTCTAGTAAGTCATATTAGCAGTAACTCAGTCCTCTAGTAAGTCATATTAGCAGTAACTCAGTCCTCTAGTAAGTCATATTAGCAGTCTGGTTGATGGCCATACAAGACAAAGGTATTCCTTGTTCAGAAAATATATAATGCTGATTACTAACTTCAATCTTTCCCTGTCTATTACCTATCAAACTGGTCATGTCAACCTTTATGTGTGGAACTGAAGACATCTGCCATTCAGAGAATACTGGTATACCTCCAACAATGGCTCTACAGCATGTGAAATTATTGTATATAGAGTACCCTTCAGGTTTGTGGATCATGTACATGAGACATTTATCAGGACGCATTGGTAACTTGGAATTCTCACTACCTTTTCCATTAAAGAATGATTTATTATTCCACTTTTAACTGGTATTTTGAGACCAGATTCATCATGCACATAACATGTTTTATATATAATATGGTCACAAGGTCAAATGTTGAATAGTGTATTTGCATCAGTAATTGCTAAGAAAAATATTTCAATTTCATTTACACAATTATCATTATTTTACCATACATGTTTGTGTTCATATCAATACAATGACCGTGGGTGGTTTATAAACCAATGCATTACTCCGTGGCAATAGAGCAATGTAGAAGAGAGCAGAACACGAAACAGAAAAATTCTGTCGATATGGAAAGATGTTATTCAATACTCTTATTATTTCATCCATGGAAGTCCCAGTCAATCTATGGAAGCCATCAATCAAGTAAACACACAACCATTATATCTGTCACGCCATAATATCCGTGACCATTCTAACCTCATGCCCTTCCATGTTTTACCCTAAACACTCGGAAACAGATCATCCAACAACTGCTTCTTATCAGACATCCTGTCCAAAGCAAACTAAAGTAAAGGTCTTCCAAACAGTCCCCGTATCCCTTACACTGAGGCATGATGAAACAACAATATTGTGCAACACAGTACCCTCAGTTTGTCTTGGAGACAGCATTATATCTGGGGAAGATCAGCTGCGATCAATATCTTCATAATAGACAGTGTGGAATCACATCTGCAGATATTGACTGGCAGAATGTTGCAACATGGTGGTCATTATGACCAGTTTCTGTCAGATCAATAGCCACAGACACTGCCATTTCCGACACGAAAACCTGCAAATATGTCAGATCTAGAAAGATCTGGACTAATAAAGTGTGTCCCTTTTGACGTCATTGAAGCATAGGACTTGATGGTCATGACGTTATTCTCCTTGTGAACTGCTGTACATAGCTTCATTCACTGTGTACATCAATGCGTGACTGAGAAATGATGTTGTTTGATGCCTCTTGACTTACTGTCATTAATATTATATGCGCTTAGTCATCTTTTTTATGTTACTTTCAAACTTGTACAATATCTGGTTGGCCAGAACTCAATGACTGATCTGTATTAAGGTAATACACTCTTAAAGTCAACTGGATTACACCTTAATGGTGATTATAGTGTAGGCAACAGAGACACAGGTCACAGGTAAATCTGACCAATCCATGCTCTCAGGGTAGAAGGCCACAAAGGCCACAACTGACTCGGACAACATCCTGTACAGGTGGGACACACAGTTCACAGCTAAATCTGACAACAATGTCAGCATCAATCCATGCTCTCTGGGTAGAAGGACACAAAGGCCATCAATCCATGATGTCAGGGTAGGACACACAAGTTGTAACTGAGAGTCAGTCTACCTACAGGATCTCCTGTCCGATTTCAGATATTGACAGAACTGTCCCAAAATGTTTGGAAATTTCAGAATTATCTTACCATGACAAAATGTTCAGAAAACAAAGACTTCATTCTGGAAGTTGACAGAAACCATTATATGATTATGGCACCAAAATTCTTTGAGTTTCTAGCCATTTCAAGACAATGCACATCACACAACGTAGGCATTATAACCAAGGAGATTTACATGGCTAAGCTTAGAATATGAACTGGGTATAGGTCATGGTTAAGCATGTAATATGAACTGGGTATAGGTCATGGCAAAGCATGTAATATGAACTGGGTATAGGTCATGGCAAAGCATGGAATATGAACTGGGTATAGGTCATGGCAAAGCATGGAATATGAACTGGGTATAGGTCATGGCAAAGCATGGAATATGAGCTGGGTGTATTTCATGGCTGAGCATGTAATATGATCCATGTGAAGTTCAAGGCTCAGCTTGAATCTTGGCTGGACCATATTGTCTCAGTAACACTGATATACGTTCATTTGCTAATGGATTCTTTCACACCAAACACAACACATGCTGTGCAACAGCTTGTATTGTAATACTGCATGAAATAGTGCTTTTGTGTTTTTTAAATCTTTAACCAAATGAAATACATTGTTACTGCAACATGATACTATTGTTGTTATCTACCAACCTGTCTGAGCCCTGCTCCATCAATAGAATGTTAGTGCATGCAGTTCACAGTAAATATGCATGTTTGTACAATAAAGATGCTGACAAACTTGTAACTGAGTGAGTGGGTTTACTTAAAGTCACATTGAACTTTAGCAGTCAGATTCCAGTGTGTCAGGAAATCCATGATGAGGGAGGAAAAAAGTCAAAATTCATGCAGATTCTAAACAAGGATCATAGGATCCTGGAGCATCTAAGGGAAGCAACTCTGTGGATGACTTGTCATGCCTCTGTAAATGCTATATTTCTATCAATCATCACTGTACTAATGAGCACTTTTTCATCAGCAGATCTAAGCAGTAACAAGAGGTTATAAACCTGAAGCCATTTGTTAACAAACCTTTGATAGCTCGGTTTTCATTTTCTAGCTCCATCATGTTCACGTCTGATTAATGGTGACCAGAGCAGTTTCTACATAATAGGTGGTGTATTCTCCAGACTGATGCAGAAAATGGATAACAACAGTGGAACACTATTACCAAGCTACAATCTTCAAAGGTTTGACAGATAAGAGGGGATGAGAGCACGGATGAAACATGTGTACTTCTCCAGCAAGAACATGGAGAAAGATGCGACCAACTGGTCTACCCACTGGATGAACTACAACAAGTATTTATCTCAAACCTAAGACCTAATTGTCACAAGCATGATCAGAGACCAAGATTCATGATCTGGGTAGCTCTGGCTGGGACATATGGCTAGTGAGCACTGTAATAAACTTTCTGTTGAAACATCTTATAAGCATCTGTGACCATCATCCTCAAGGATAATTGTTGAATATATATAACCTTCCTTAATCAGAACATCTTTTTTCCTAAAGTGAGTGAGTGAATGTTGTTTGATGCTGACATTATGAAATCATACAAGTCTGAGCCAACAGACCTGAGGAAGTGATGTCACTGAAGTATAAAGAAAACTAATCTGCTGGGGAACATATCAGGGTAGGGGATTAAATAAAGTGAGGTGAGGTGAGGTGAAATTAGGTTTAACGTCGTGCTTGAGAATATTTCGCTCATATGACGATGTGCATGCGTGTGTATGTGTATGTGCGGCTGCTTGTACTAGCCCAGACTTAAGCTGGTTTTATAGTGCTAGCCCACTGAGATACCACGCCGCAGTGAAGCATGCATACCTCACTCAGACACATTATACTGACTCCGAGCCGACCAACAGTCCTTGTTGTACCCATTAATGCCGAGCCAGGCAGGGACCAACAAGTACCATATTTTAACGTCTTTTGGTATGACGCGGTCGGGGGTCGAACGATTAAATAAAGAATCTTTGTGAAACCCTTATTTATGAGGAAATATGAGCAAGATGTACAAGCATCCTAATATTGTTTAGTGCCCCATTTCTACCAGGATTTTGGACCATTTTTATCAACTGTGACACACGTCTTCAAAGAGGACTTTGTATTCTTTTTTTCATAAGGAACTCAAACTTTGGTGCAATACCCCCTCCAAGGGTTTAGAATGTTTTCACAAGGAAATCAAAGAGTGGGGTTGTCCTACCTGCTTGAATCCCCTGTACATTATCTGTAGTTCCTTGCGTGTGAACTTGGTGTTGCGGCAGAGGACGTCAATCCCCTCTGGCTTGTAACGCACCACCTGCATTTCCAGGTCATCAATGTCATGATCTGTAAACAAGTAGAGCTCGTTAACACCTGGACAACCACTGCACATCAAACAAAGAGAATCACAAGGAAAGAAGATTTCCACTGTCCGTGATGAAAGCTGCAAGGTAATCATTAGGCTGTAACATCCTGCTATGTTTTATGAACATTCAAGAATTCATGGAATCCAAGATGAAAACATTGCATAAACAAGGTAAACAATAACGATGAAGGGTAAGTAGAGAGGTCTGAAATTAAAATTCACAGAACATAAAAATTAGTTCATTGATCCAGGCAAATGTCTGTCACCATAATTTGGCCTTTTACACCCAAATGAATCTGTCCCAGCATATAATCAAGACTGGTTATTTTATGGTGTTGAAGTTGTATATTTTCATGCTATGTCATCTTCAGTATTACTTCAGAGTGAGTGAGTGAGTGAGTGAGTGAGTGAGCGATCGATTGTATTACTTACGCTGCTTTTAGCAATATTCCAGCAATATCACAGAGGTGTACATGTAGGGAATATTGTACATGTAGGGAATCAAACCTGGGTCTATGGCCTGACAAGCAAGCACTTAACCACTAGGCCACCCCACCGCCCCTGTTACATCTGTAATACAGTGAGAGAATCAGGTAAGCAAATGAGTGAGTGAGTTGGGATTGATATAGACTAACACTTAGTTTCTGAATATATATAATTTGATAGCAACAAAAAATTCCATTTAAACTGAAAAGCAGCACCAGTGAGATTGGAGATTCAGACTCCTGAACCTAAGGAAATCTAGACTTGCTTTATTTAGAGCTTTAGCATGTCAGGGATAGCTTGCCACCTCTATTGTATACAACATACATGTCCTCCTACCTCTATTGTGTACAACATACATGTCCTCCCACCTCTATTGTATACAACATATATGTCCTCCCACCTCTATTGTATACAACATATATGTCCTGCCACCTCTATTGTATACAACATATATGTCCTCCCACCTCTATTGTATACAACATATATGTCCTCCCACCTCTATTGTATACAACATACATGTCCTCCCACCTCTATTGTATACAACATATATGTCCTCCCACCTCTATTGTATACAACATATATGTCCTCCCACCTCTATTGTATACAACATATATGTCCTCCCACCTCTACCTCTATTGTATACAACATATATGTCCTCCCATATATGTCCTCCCACCTCTATTGTGTATACAACATATATGTCCTCCACCTCTATTGTATACAACATCTACCATGTATATATGTCCTCCACCTCTATTGTAACATATATGTCCTTGTCCTCCAACCTCTATTGTATCCCACCTCTATTGTATACAACATATATGTCCTCCCACCTCTATTGTATACAACATATATGTGTTGCCACCTCTATTGTATACAACATATATGTCTTGCCACCTATATTGTATACAACATATATGTCCTCCCACCTCTATTGTATACAACAACCTCCCACCTCCTTGTATACAACATATATGTATATGTCCTCCCACCTCTATTGTATACAACATATATGTCCTGCCTATTGTATACAACAACATATATGTCCTCCACACCTCTATTGTATACAACATATATGTCCTCACCACCTCTATTGTATACAACATATATGTCCTGCCACCTCTATACAACATATATGTCTTGCCACCTCTATTGTATACAACATATATGTCCTCCCACCTCTATTGTATACATGTCTTGCCACCTCTATTGTATACAACATATGTGTATACAACATATATGCCACCCCTATTGTATGTGTATACAACATATATGTCCTCCCACCTCTATTGTATACAACATATATGTCCTCCCACCTGTATATGTCAACATTGTATACAACATTGTCCTCCCACCTCTATGTATACAACATATGTCCTCCCACCTCTATTGTATACCATCTATTATTGTATACAACATATATGTCCTCCCACCTCTATTGTATACAACATATATGTCCTCCCACCTCTATTGTATACAACATATATGTCCTCCCACCTCTATTGTATACAACATATATGTGTTGCCACCTCTATTGTATACAACATATATGTGTTGCCACCTCTATTGTATACAACATATATGTCCTCCCACCTCTATTGTATACAACATATGTCCTCCCACCTCTATTGTATACAACATATATGTGTTGCCACCTCTATTGTATACAACATATATGTGTTGCCACCTCTATTGTGTACAACATATATGTCCTCCCACCTCTATAAATCCCTGACATTCAGTATTTTATACAAACTATATGTTCTCCTACCTCCATACATTAATGCCATGGACTGTGAGATATATACATCCTTCCTGACCTCTATTAATCCCCAACATCCATGGTGTAGACAATACATATGTCCTCCTACCTTGTTTAATCCCTCCCATGTGCTGTGGGACATATATCATCTGCTACAACACAGCAGGATATAACACACAACATCTTATCATCGCCTGGGATGAATAAGGGATAGATTCCTTATTGAATATGAGATATAATCATTTGATACAGGTAGGACTGCCATGGAATATGTGAGTGCAGTCTTACATAATACAATCTTTCAGTGACGAAAAATAAACCCTTCTCAAAGTAAGTGAGTATGTGATATTTCAGGCCAACATAAACACATCCTCTACCAATTGTCCACATTCAAGTCACAACATCGCCACATTTCTCATCAACACTGATGGGTTTCTTCAACATGATAAACACAGTTTCTGTCGCTGCATTTCTCCAAGCTGTATTTACAAATGCAAAGGATCTAAATTAACTTGAACTCAGTAACAATAAGCTGTAGAAGCAAATACCAAAGCTACTGATGGACAACCCAAGTGGAGAAAAAGCGCAAAGCCACCTGGCTTCCCAACAGGGACACTGTCCCTGGAGGTATTGCTTATCATGTTTACCGTTACCTTAGATCCATCAGGCCAGGTTCTTGTACAAACGGACAAAGACTTCACGAAATGTTGAATAAATAAACATGCTGGAGAGCAGAACATGGAAATGAGTTAATTTAATCTGCCATGTTTGGGGTTCCCCCTCTACTTTGTGTAGCCGGAAGAACACTGTGGATGGTGTCCCCAAGACAGAAGGCAGGTGCTGTGTTAACAACCAAGGAGAGAAGCTGGGTGTCAGGGGCATTCAAACATTGTCAGCAACACAAGCTGCAGTTTTTTCATCTTTTGAACAGAAAATATCAAAGCATCAAAGAAGAAAAGTTCGCTTAATGCTAGGAACCAATCATGGAAGTCCTTAATTAAACTTATTTTAGTGCTACAGTGGTCAATATGAGCTTATTTCAGCACAACAGTGATCAATATGAGCTTATTTCAGCACTACAATGGTCAATATGAGCTTATTTCAGCACTACAGTGGTCAATATGAGCTTATTTAGAAAACAACAGTGATCAATATGAGCTTATTTCAGCACTACAATGGTCAATCTGAGCTTATTTCAGCACTAAAGTGATCAATATGAGCTTACAGTGATCAATATTATTTCAGAGCTTGATTATTTCAGCACTACAGTGGTCAATATGAGCTTATTTCAGCATTAGTGGTCAATATGAGCTTATTTCAGCAGCACTACAGTGATCAATATGAGCTTATTTCAGCACTACAGTGGTCAATATGAGCTTATTTCAGTACAGTGGTCAATATGAGCTTATTTCAGCACTACAGTGATCAATATGAGCTTATTTCAGCACTACAGTGGTCAATATGAGCTTATAGCAGCACTACAGAGTACAGTTGCTCTAGCAATCAGTGTGAACTTAGTTCTCCAATACAGTGATATATTTGAGCTTTAATTACACCACTGCAGTATTCAATTTGACCATCAGTCAGAAAGTGAGTCGGTTCTACATCATTATTGGGAATATCTTCATGATATGACAGAAAGGACACCAGCCATGGTTCACATACACACACACACACACACACACACACTCCAGCCATGTTTGGTTCACATGAGATCCTTCAGTCTGACAAGAGATCCTTCAGTCTGACAAGACAACACGTCAGACATTACACTACCCCATCCCTTGTTACTGAAACATCAACCATGTCTTTAAGGCATGTATTAGCTGAGACCAAGGAATGGACCTTACTTTCTGATGCCATCTGGGTGCCATTGTACAAGGCAACTTTAGCACTACGTCAGTCATAAGTCCATGTTAAGGTATGGGAGTTATAATCACCTTAGCTCTAAGATCACTTTGTACAAACGGCACCCAGAAGAACACTAACACCTACCGGTAAGTCATGCATCAAGGAGGGTGACAACTGAAAACACATATTGAGGAACCCTGAAAATGGCAAACTGTAGCTGAAGATTCAGCACACAATTGATCAAGGTAGTTGTCATATGACAAACGATACATTCATCAGATAATTTACACGACATTGCTATGAAAACAATTAGGTCAGAACGTTATGTATTATTCTGAAGGAACCCAGTGACCTCACTGCCAATGTATAATACATGAACAATACGATACACCGGCTATTGAAACAATGATCAACACTGTTTACTCCTACCCTGGATCAGCACGGTCCAGATCCATATGCTGGTATCAGAATACCGGAAAGGTCTTCAACCAACCAAACCTAGATACGTTCACATATTTTATTTCACAAAAAGTCATATTTGTTTTAGCTGGACTATGACATGTCAACAAACTGGTTTTGCAGTGGAAATAGAGAGATTGCACCAAACCTCATTGGTGACAGGTAAAGTGAAACCTGTAGATAAGCAAACCCCTTTCTACAGACTGCTTTCTTGGTCCTCAAATTTGGCTTATCTATGGAAATATACAGTAATTACATGGCCAGAACATAGAATCATCAAGGGGTACAGTTCTGATCCTGGAACCTCCCCTCCACTATACCTGTACCACCTGGATCCCAGGTACAGGTAGAGCTCCAGTAAAACCTCCATTGCTGTACATATCACACCGTACATCAGACACATACGCAAATAATTCATAACGT